ACTAAATAAAGGCTTTGAGACTTTTAAAATTAAATTGTGTGCTTACAGTTTTCCTAGAAACCACAAAAGAGCAGTCACTAAGGTGGTCTTCAGAGATTTAAAGACATGAATATGAATGATAGGAAGTCTCAGCTACTACTTAGATTGTGATTAGGACATCAAGGAATTATACAATTTCTATAATATTTTTTCTTTAACTTTCTCATTTTGAAATCTTAGGCTAAATATGTTATTATACAATGTATTTGATTTTATAGCAAGATATAGGCCTAAGAATATTGGCTGTGAATTAGTTTAATTTTGAAGTAGATAATTCTTCAAGGAATGTTAACCTCAAGGATCTCTCTGTGTCAGTCAGGGAATTAGCAAGAAAGCAGAGAATTGTGAGTACAAGGCCATTGGGTTCCACTGGTGTGGAGCTGTTAGCATCTGAGAAATCTAAAACTCTATCTTATTCTAAAAACATAATCACTTGGAAAATTGAAAAGTTTAGTCTTTACTTTAAAAAAAATCTGTTTAAAAGAATCTTTACTATGACAACTAGTTTGATTCACTTTTTAATCAAACTGGTTGGTCACACACGTTAAAGCACCTGCGACTGTGTAAGTATAGCCCTTGAGGGTGTATTTTAGTCACTTCACTCAGTGAGCATTTCCAGAGCGTTTGAACGTTCTAGGCCAAGCATTTTGACAGGTGCAAGGAATATAGAGGTACGTGTAAGACAAGCTCCTGTCTCCAATTGACTTTCCATGACAGAGACTTAAAAATTAAAAGCAAACCAAAACCAAGACAGTTACATGACAGGACGAGAAATGCTCAGATGGGTGCCATTAGAGCTAGAAGAAGAGCTTCTAGTTTGAGTTGGGGATCCAGTCAAGGGAGTCTTTACATGAGAAAGAACCAGAAAAGGACATGACAGACATGGAGTCATGGTTAAGTGTATGAGTGGGGCATGCAGCAAGAAGTGGAGGAAAATAGCCCAAAATGAACCTGTCTGCTGCTTTTTCATGTATAATTTTATATGTTATTTATCATTAGTTATAAGTTTCAATAAAAATACATTGCTTTTTAAATTGCCTTAAAGACACATTGTTATGGGGCGCCTGGGTGGCTCAGTTGGTTGAGCAACCGACTTCGGCTCAGGTCATGATCTCACAGTTTGTGAGTTCTAGCCCCGCATTGGGCTCTGTGCTGACAGCTCGGAGCCTGAAGCCTGCTTCAGATTTTGTGTCTCCCTCTCTCTCTGACCCTCCCCCACTCATGCTCTGTCTCTCTCTGCCTCAGAAATAAATAAACATTAAAAAAAAATTAAAAAAAAAAAGACACCTTGTTAAGTTCTTCATGATTATAGGGTACCCAAGAATCTACACAGTCCTCAGACAATATAAAATACTTTATTGTGCTTTTAAATGGTGACATATAAATTCATTATACAAAATGGTCTATTTTTAGCTGCAAGAGGAATTCAAACCCACTTCTCTAAAAGAACTTTTCGAGATAAACACTCATATAAACCTTCTCTTAAACAGCTCCCATTGTTTATAATGTGATTTGATGCTCCATTGAAATTTCCAAAGAAAGCTTCAAATTCTTCCGGCTCAAACTTTTGCAGACCAAGGGCAGTGATTTTCTGATGAATCAGAAGATCATGTTGATGGATGAAACTGGGGAAGTACTGACATTTGGATGGATTGTTGGCCATTGTATTCCTCCCAACACCAAGATCACACCAATGTGTTTTGCAATCACAAAATCCCTCCTGACTAGATGATGATTTAAGAAGTTAATCTTAGCTAGTTTGTCTAGTTGAGCATTTCCGTCCTATGTAAACAGCAAAATTTATACAAATCTCCATGTATTTTCGAAATATTTTGCCATGTACTGTTAACAGATTATCTCAAAACCACTATCATCTTTTCCAATTCTTTTTCTTTTCCTTTCTAACTCTCCTAGAGACTTTGCAGTTCAGTTCAGTTTATTTAGTTGTTCTTCTGTCGTAAACCTGGTGGGGGTGGGAGTGTCAGAGATAAGTTTAAATTGGCCATCTGTGTTTTTGTAAATCTCAAGGGATTGTTATCAAGTCCCCTGGTCCGTGCGGCAAGAATTTCTTCCTTCTAGCTCTGGTCTTTTCTTTGGTCAGCAGGAAATCAGTTGCTTTAAGACCAACATCCCCCTGGTCAAGTTGCAGGCCATCTGCTTGGACATATGTTCACTCTTTGATCTTTAAACAATTAATTTATTCTCTGTAGCCTCTGGTGCCTGGACCACCAGGCCTGCCAGGAGGTCCCATTGTATTCTCCCTGAATCTCTGGGAAACATGAAGACAGGTTTTCCTGTGAGCTTCTCTCTTAGGGACAGATATTTTAATGAACCTGATTGGAGAATTCCAGCCTATTTGTGAACAGAACCTGATGGTGTTAATGTTTCTTCTACGGGGCTCTGCATTGTAGATTCATTCCTAACTAGCTCCTTCTCTTAATACTATCATATGGACTACTACTCTGGTCCAGGTCAGAAATTTTCATTTCTGCTTTATTCTTTTATTATTATTATGGTAAAATTTACATAACAAAATTTACCATTTGATCCATTTTTGAGTGCGCAGTTCAGCAGTATTTAGTATATTCATGCTGTTGTATAACCATCACCACCATCTGTCTCCAGAACTTTTCATCTTCTCAAACTGAAACTTTGTACCCATTAAACAGTGACTTCCCATTACTCCTCCCCCAACCCCTGGCAACCACCATTCTGTTTTCTGTCTCTATGAATTTGACTAATAGACACCTCATATAGGTGGAACCCTAATATTTGTCCTTTTGTAGCTGGCTTATTTCACTTAGTATAACATCTTCAAAGTTCATCCATGTTGTACTGTGTGTCACAGTTTCCTTCCTTTTTAGGGCTGAATAATGTTCCATTGCTATATATACTATGTATCACATTGTGTTATGAACTCCTGGGTTGTTTCCACCTTTTGGCTATTGTGAATAAGGTCACTACAAACATGGGTCTAGAAATACCTTTTTTAAGTCCCTGCTTTCACTTGTTTGGGATATATATCCATAAGTGGAATTGTTGGACCACATGGTAATTTTATGTTTAAGTTTTTGAGGAACCCCCATGCTGTTTTCCACATTTTCAATCCCTGTCATAGTTGCATGATGGTGTTTATAACTGTAGGGGGTGAGATTAGGGATGAAATTGACTGAGGGACCTCTATCTACTCTTCCAGGGATCTTTCTTGTTTAGAAGAATCTTTTTAAAAAACTGATGAATGATAACTGGGGAGAAAATTCTCTTTTACCTCATGTTAAGAAATTTCTAGAAGAATAAAAGTGGCTGTATCAACACTGAGAATTGTGAGAATTGAGATTTTTGTGCCTGATGTGACAAGGACTTCTGGGTAGCAGAATTGAACAACACACCCTGTTCTAACTCCTGCTAGATTAATGAGGCACCACAAGAAACAAAAGAGCTACAAGTTTTCCTACTGTGGACTTCTCGGGTGCAATATATCCATATGGTGAGACCCAAGTTTGGCCCTCAAATGCAGCAATGAGGCCAGATTTTGGGACAGGGTTCCCGGAAGCATGAGTATGGTGAGTGAACTCACTGATCCTCATATCCCAGGAGATACCACAGAGACTGCCTCACCCAGCTCTCCACCTGAGGCAACAGACCTCACCCCCCTGTAGGTTACAGGTTGCTTCCTGCCTTGCACACAGAAAAACTAAGTGCCCAAAGAACACTTCCCATTCTCTAGAACTTTCCAAGTTGTTGGCGTATGTCAGCTACTCTAATGGGACTTGTGTGGTGAGATAAAGAATAGTGTCCACGCTCAAACTACAACAGAGTTAGCTTAGCTGTTACTCCATCTAAAACAGGCTTGTTTCGCATTTGGTTGCATGAGAGGATGTCATTCCCATTCTAGACTTCGCCACTTCACTAGCATCTAACAGCCTCACCTTGGGCTTGAACTTACTTCAGTTCAGTCCTTAGGAAAAACTTGTTTAGAGTAGCAGAATTAGAGAGGATTATCTAAAGGGATATGCAGTCCTTCTGTTCTTCTTAGAAACTCCCGACATTTATCTATCCCTGGATTAAGCCAGATGGTCAAAAAAAAAAAAAGAATTCCTGGCTGACATCATCCTGACCCTTTATGGAACAGCTTTTACTATCTTCTGCTCAGAGCCAGCCTCCTTTGAGTGAGGTTAACACTCAGCCCTACAAAACTCCTTGTTGTACAACTGATGTCTTCACTCACCCACAAAACATGGTACCCAGTGTGTATGAAGCCCTGTAAGAGAAATAGTTCCCAGACCCCGTACCGGGAACAGGAGTTCTCCTCTGAGCAGTTGGTTTGTTGTGAGGCTGTGAACACACACGTGAACCACCTATCTGGTCATGGAATGAGGATGCTGAGAGACAGGGCAACAGTCTGCCTCTAGCACAGGTACAGAACTCAGGCTAGAATTGCATGGTAATCTCATGCCTGTCTTTACCTTATTTTATAAGCTCTTATTTTTCTTTTCTCTCATTGCCTCACTTTTTAGGTTGTTGAATTGTCTGAATTTTTGCAAGCTATTCAAATCCTTTAGGGAATAAAATATAAACATGAATCGGGTATTCTCAGTTGCTTTGAATGTTCAGAAGACAAAATGTATATAAATTATTAGTTTTCAGAGGAACTAGAATATACTTAATATAGTTGGCGTTAAAACCATGACTATTCTGAATACGATGAAATTCTAAGTTCTTGTTCAATCTGTATCTCTAGTTGCTAGTGCTATGCTTAGCATATAGTAGTTGCTCAGTAAATATTCCCTGCAGGATTTGAACAAACAAGATCTCTCTGCACTTAAAGGTTACCACCCTCATGTTCTGTAGATACTGAGAAGCAAAGAGAGGCTGTGTCACTCCAGTATTTCCTCCATCCTTGTCACATATGGGAGGACACAGCTGGCACTTCTAACGCTCTCCTGTCTCCCTCTCTGCAGACTCACATTTCAAGACTCCCTCCCGGTGCAGTGGCAGGACAGTCCGTGGCAATCGAAGGTGGGGTTTGCCGCCTGGAGAGCCCAGTGAACTGACCCTCAGGCTGAGCATGAAGCGTCTGAGAGGCATTTCAGAACCTGAGCTTTTCGGGGTTTTTAACTGAACTTGGATGTTTTATCTTCGCCATTTTATAATTCCTGTTGCAGCCTCGTGCACTGCTCGCAACACTACTGCTGCCGTGGTTAGCGCTTAGTGACATGCAGGTCTTCAGCAGGTGACGGGACTGAGTGTGCGTGTGTATGTGCGTGTGTGTGCAGTGCGTGTGCTTGCTTCTCCCCTGATGAAATAGAAACTCCTTACTGTGTAACCTAAGACCGGGAATGACTAAATCATCTTCACAAAATGTGTGCTTTACTGTTTACAAGTAAAACCTAGAGTTGCAGGAAACATTTTTGATTTCATAAAGAGGTACCAGCTGTTGTTGATGTAATGTGTCCGAACTGAAGAGTAAATCTACTTGTTTAAATGATTTGACAGTGGTAGTGCTCCATTTAATAACAGTAATAAGTGATACAGTGTTTTATTTGTTAACCAGTTTAAGTGGATCCTGTGGTAACTTAAACTGTTATTCTCATCCCTCATATGGGGCATTTTTCTTTAACAAAGAATGGTTTCAGTGAAACAATCTAGCAGAGAATTAAGGTCAGAACCTTTTTAAATAATAGTCTTATTGATAAAGTTTGTACTTCTTTCCTCAAGCTTTTCTAAGCTTAAATACTGCATATCTTCGAGCTATATGTACTATATTATGAAAGAATATGTAAAGAGAACATACAGTAATGCACAGTCCCTAATTTGTGTATAATGGAATGTTATTTACAATGTAACACTGTAAATAAGAAAGCAAAATTTATGGGAAAATTCAATATTATCTTTGTTTCCTGTTTAAATATATTTTTAAGATAAAGGCACAAAAATAAAAGAAGCATATTACTGGGTACAGTGTGTGACTCCTCTTCTTAGACTAATAAATTAATCTTTTGAATCCTAGATTGGAGAGCCATTTTTTATTTTGTTTGTAAAAAGTTACTTCTTCTAGAAATCATCCCTTTATCTTTGTTGCTATGATTCTGATAGTTCAAAACCTGTCTTTGTGCAGTTAGGCCTGGACACTAACATGATGAAAGTTGAACTTAGCTCATGATTGAATGGCCAGTATCAAAATCCCTAAAATGTTTATTGCGAGTTGATAAAAACTAACAAAGGGAAGGAGTAAGACCGCTTTGGTTTGAAAAACTGTAGTGGCAGCTGAAAACTCGATGGTTTCAGCTGATAAATTGCTTCTAAATGTTATAGTTAGTGATTCTGGAGCCACATAAGAAAACCAAGACTTTTCTTTTGATTTTATGTGTAAGAAGTGGCTATCAAGAAGATACTAAAGATAGACTCACTCAGGGAGAGGAAGTTCCCTGCACCATATAATCATGGCTCGGGCGGTAACTGATAAAGCCCCAGATGAAATTATATACTTGACATCGATGTATGGCCAAATTATAAAGGAAAGACAACCAAAATGGAGTGGGTGTAAATATGAATGATTTGGGAGTTGCTGATTTATATTCCTTGTACAGGCAATTACATTTGTCTCGCTGTGTTCTCGTAGACAGGTTGGTGCCATGATATCTGTTTCTCATTCTTAATGAGGCTGAGAACTTAGTAAGTGATGGGCTGGCTGGTGGGGAGCCTTTGGCTTCAAAAGCTTTCAAAGACCTGTTACCTGTTGGCAGAGTTTTTTGAGGAACTGGACTGGATCACGTAAAACTATCAGGACACTTTGGAGTCTGAAAATCATCTGACCTATTTCACCAGGAATGCCATTTCTTTTCATCTTCTTTTGACTTTATTCTACTCATATTTAAAAGTTTGGGCTTGTTAAAGACCCTTTTATGAAGATTTTAAAAACTGGTCAGTATAAAAGAGCACAGCCCCTCCAAGAACAGTTTGTTAAAGCTTCATTCTCCAATTTCTTTTTTCTTTCTTTCTTTCTTTTTTTTTGTTTTTAAATTTAAGGAATATTGTCAAACCAGGAGGGAAAAAAAGTGATATTCAGAATCATTGAGGCACCAATGTAATGGGCAGTATAAGTGCCTTAGTGATAAGATCAGATATTAAAGAGCAGATACCAGAACCAGAGGATATTGACAGATATAAAATCAACCTCATTTCACACAAAAGTAGAAAGAGTCGAAAGAAACAGATAAGAAAGTAACTTCATTCCCTAGTCTGGTTTATATCACCAAGATTCTGAAGCAGTATTTTAACATGGATGAACTTACCGTCTGCCTATATTCCATTTCCTTTTAAGACCTGATCATTGGATGCTCGGTTCTCTTGAGTACAAATAAGCCTGGTCTGGATCCCTCAAGGCCATCACTGCAATCCTGCTCTGGGTTTGGAAATGGGAATCTTCTGGAAGGGCGAGGAGATGGAGGCCATGTGCTCTACCTTAAAGGAGCCTAGAGTGTCCATGCTGTCTGATGAGGCATGAAGGTCTTGTCCAGGACTGTCCTTCTCGCTTGTCAGCTCTGCCTCTCCTCCCTGCCTCCTGTGTGTCTGCCCAGAGCAGACCCTTTCTCAGCTTTTCACTGCTGCTTCTAAACAGGAAGTTGAAGTCCAATATCGATGTATGTATAAATCCGTCCTAAATGCTAGTCTGTGGTGCTTATCTGTGAGCAAAAATGGATGAATTGTAGTTTATGGCTATAGGAACCTCTTTGTTGGCTGCTCAAAAGTCTTTTTTGCCTAATTCCTCACTTTCTCCCATGTTTGAGAGGTGGTGATGGTGCATTGTAGTTACCAGCAAATATGCAAGGTTTGGCTGTTTTGAAGCACTGGTAGGAGGGGGAGGGAGGAAAGGAGGCTGTGAAGAAGGGAAGATTTAGAAAAGTGTGGAAATTATTCTTGAATCTTGAGATTGTATTAAATTATTGTGGATTTTTTAAATGTTTACTTGTTTTTGAGAGAGAGATAGGGTGCATGGAGGGGTGGGAGGGCAGAGAGACTGAGAGTCCCAAGCAGGCTCCTCACTGCCAGTGCGGAGCCTGACGTGGGGCTCAAACTGATAAACTGTGAGATCATGACCTGAGCCAAAATCAAGAGTCCGATGCTTAACCAACTGAGCCACCCAGGCACCCCTGTGGATTTTTTTTTTAATCTGGTCATTGTTATTATAAAAGCAATTCATGCTAATTACAAAAAAAAAAATCTGAAAATAGGAAAGCAAAAAAACAAAACAAAACAAAACTCATAACTCCACTTCCCTAGAGACAACAGTTAACACTTTATCTTGTACCCTTTATGACCTTTTTATGCATACACTTTCTGTGTTTTTAACACCAAAATGGGTTTATATAACCTGCCATTTTCACTTAATAATGTCATAGGAAGATGTCCAGACTTAATAAGAATTACCTCATTTATTATTGGTTCAGCTAATGTTGTTCAGTACATATATTTTATCCTAAGCTTCTGTGGAAATCTGTCTCTACTAACAGACTAACAATACAGTCAGCATCTGTTTTCTCAGGGTACAGATCCCTGCAATGAGCACTGTGAGGTCTTACTTGCCCTTGAAAGCCAGCTGAGCAGGTGTCCTAGGGCAGACCATTGCCATTGCCCATGGATCCTCCATTGCAGAGTACCCCCAGACAACATGTAAAGGCTAGTATCTGCACCTCTATGCCTCAGGACTTGTTCTGGAACCATAGAAAACTGCACCGTCCCTGCACACAGCAGGCCAGAAGTGTCAGGGAATCAGCAAGGCCCAGAAGCAGCTCACAGTTGATGAACGGAAGCTGTATGAGCATACTAGTTCCTTTGCTTCTTGGGTGGTATAAGTCGGGTGTGTGTTTCACACTGTGTTTGAGAGATTTTCCATAGAAGTTAAGCTTCAGTTGCCGCCTGTGGCAGTTGACTTATTAATACACCTTGTGTTGACTTTTTTCCCTTCCCTGTTGCCTTCTTAGTGCCCCTGTTTTATGATTCATGGGGTCATCTCCCAGATGAACTGTTTGTACTTGCCACCCTGTCTCAGGGTTGCTTCTTGGGGACTTGAAACTAAGAAACAATCCATTCTACATACTCTTGGCCAGGAGGCATTTATAGCCTCTTCTGATTGAGAGGATGAATTCACCAGTCTACTTGTGCCCTGCACTGGAGTCTCTTCCTGCCTTGTGCTCCTGATGAACCATTTTAATCCATAATATCTGATTGAATATTCTCCAAGTGATAAGGCTGGATGTGCCACAAAACTGGAAGGAAGAGAGCCTGGGAGGCTCAGCTGATTAAGTGCTGACTTTGGCTCAGGTCATTATCCCACGGTTCCTGAGTGTGAGCCCCATGTCAGGCTCTGTGCTGACAGCTCAGAGCCTGGAGCCTGCTTTGGATTCTGTCTCCCTCTCTCTCTGCCCCTCCCCCACTCATACTCTGTCTCTCTTTCTCTCTCTCTCTCTCAAAAATAAATAAAACATTAAAATTTTTAAAAAAAGTGGAAGGAAGTTCATAGCCAAGTCAGTGATGACAGGCACCCGACAGCAGGAGACAAGTGCATACTTTTAAGGAGGTAGGGAATAAACAAGCTAAATAGCAGCTCTCCATCAAGAATTGAGGGACTCCTTAAGAGAAAGAAACTGGAATTGTGTTAATGGGACTGGGAAGAGACCATAGCCAAAGGTGTGTTATGAAGTTAAGAGATTTGAAGAGACCGAAACAATGGTAGCCAGTGTTCCCATGTCATGAACACATGTCCACCATGACCATGCATAACAACTTCATATGGCACCCACTTTCAGAATGCCACCTCTCAAGCCTAGATATCCCCAACATAATTTTGTGGTTAATTTTTTTTTAAATGCCTCCCAACATTTTTCTTAAAATGTCTATTAACTTTTAACGTTTAACTAAAATGTTTATTAAAATCAACTTTTTTTTTTGACATAAACCCTACAATTGCTCAACATTGTGAATCCCTTTGTGCCATGAAGCCCAGTCTCCTATCCAACTTAAGCTTGCAGTGGTTAGTCATGGGGTGAAGGAC